TCATCCATTAATTCATTCATTCGTTCTTCTTCCTTCGGGGTTATGCGTTTTTTTATTATTGCTATGGGTTTAATTACCCAAGTTTGAGTGGGTTTTACTAGCAATAAAGTACAATTTAACACGTGTCTTCACATCGTTCTTCTGCTACGACTAACCACATTAGAATAGGACTCAACTCTTATTTCATAATCAAAGGACCAACATTTCAACAAAGACGGAGTTGCAATCCTTCTACTGAATATCCCATAAGAATCTATTAGAATAAAACTAACAAAAAACTTTCACGACAATATCGATTCACAATAACAAAATGAGTTTTAAAGAAAGTAATGGCCATGCAACAAACATGAGAATATGACAAATAAAATTTATTTATTCAATAATATGTAAATGATTAAGAATTTTGGTAACCTGTCGAGTTAGTTGTTCAGCATATCGATCCATTGTTGTATCATCTGTAGTGATATATTCTAATTCTTCACATTGTTTTCCTGATTCGATCGGACATTTTGCCTTATAGTGCAATTTAATGGCGACGTCTGGTTCAGCGTGTAACGTCTGGGCTACATCAGCACGCTGTCGATGTAATGCAAAATGATTGAATACAGTAGCAACCGTGTTCGTGCTAAAGAAACCTATGCGTAAATTAAAATTGCAAATATGTAACTTGTAAAGTGTGTTGTTTCTTCTTTTCCAAATATTAGCTAATAATAAGCAAAACATGAACTTTTACTTATGACCTCTAGCGTTTGCATAAATTCGAATTTGTAGGATTTAGGCAATTAACTATCACTGAAAAATACTATATGTTAACAAATAATTTATTACACATAAAAGGAATGAAGGAGGAAACTGAGTGCGCTATTTCGTATTGATTTAAGTTAATCTGGATATTTGGTATAATTAAGTAAATTGGATTGAGCAATGCTTAATTATATATTTGTAAAATTCCTTAAATGGGAATTTGAATTTTCTTTTCTCGAAGAAAAAAATGACAAATGGTTGAATTCAACCAGATCAATAGAGTCCATGTTGTAATTATCAATTCATAAAGTTAGATTTAAAAATACTTCATGAAAGCTTTTCCATATTCGCCCGGTTTGCTCAGTGTTTCTGATTTACGTCTATTCCGTAGCATGTACATGTAAGATGGAACAATCGGATTCCGCAAGTTGATATCAGATGGAAATTTGAATACATTTCGAATAGAAATTGAGGTGACTTCAGTCATTTTTGAATTTTTGTCGTAAAAGGTAGTAATGATATTATTCAACAAAGCACTCCAGTTATCATGCTTCAATGGCACGACGACTTCATCGATATCCAACATCAGAACAAACTTGTGAGTGTCGATGTGCCTTAAGATGACAATGGGCTAAAGCTGAACAAATAATAACGAAGTTGCAGCAACTCTATTATTAAAACAAAAACTGGTACAAACGTTTGATTTTCATCTTTGAAATTTTATTTCGATTAATACAGCATAAGTACCTGTACAGACAATCATTATATGGAATTAACTCGTGACGACGTTTCTGTTGCCTATTTCGCCAAATGAAATGACTTCTGACGTATGCCTGATTTGGAGACTTCCCGGGAAGATTAATTGGTATCTAAGTGACGGAAACGATTAGTTGCAGTTCCTTAAATAATCATATAGAATTTGAGGGCTAGGTTTCAATTAAAATTGTTGAACAATTCAAAAGAATTAGATCAAAATCTTGAGATTAACTCTATTTATTGCTATCCAAACAAATTTTCTGCCTCATTTTAGCAACATTTGAATAAAATATGAAATGCTACCACAATGACAGATCCTTGCTTGATGTAGTAATTTAGGACTTGCTGCATTTTACGTGGCACATAGTAAGTATATATTGTGATCATATCAGCACCAGTGATAAACTGCATCTCGATCCATTCAACCAAACGTTCTGGCATATCTTCAATATAATCTAGCCCCTATAAATCTAAGAAATTAAATATTATTTCTGATTTTTTGGTAGTATTTTTGGTTTTTCTAAATAGTATTTTAAGCGAAAACAGTAGAGTAACTTTATATAATATAATAATAAGTCTTTTGCTAAGTCACTTCTTTTTCATAACGATCTAACTAAATGACAAAGTTTGAAAAATGAGTCAAATTAAACAAATTAATATTAAATTTTTCTAGTTATGCAATATTCGAAAGTTTAAAATTTCACAAATTTTACCTTTACGTTCAAAAATTCAGAATTTTACCTTCACGCAAACAGCAATTCCTCTTTTTTCCTTTCTTGGCGATAGCATTCGTACTCGCGATGAAATTTCCTGACTTTTACATGGTGTTTTACTCAGTGAAATCGTCAGATTTGTGCTATGTTCGAAATATTTTGGCACAGGGCAACTAATCAAATTCGGAATGTAAAAAAAATCTCGTGGATCCCAAGCTCGTTGCCAAATTTCACGAATCGTCCCCTCAATAACAATATATTTTTCTCGAACCATATCATACAGATTACAGAATATTTTGTCTGCTGGTGGAATGGACCGGAATGACATAGTCAATATCTAAAGAAATAGGAATCAGAAATAAGAAAATCTCGATGGTAATGATTCATTCAGGTTAATTTTGGAGGAAAAGATCAACAAAAGAGTTGGAAATTCTTCACCTTTCTTCATTTCATTTCTTCAAGTATTTTTAGACAAATAAAATCATTCACTTGTATAACATGATTGTTCGGATAAAGTGAACTACGTCGCCGATCATACGTTGCTGAATACACGTACAGGTCATCGTTTTGGAACCAATCATTTCTTATGACAGCAGTGGGCATTTTCAGATGGCATTGCCACCAATACTGCCTTACTTTTCTCTCCTAACAATAAAAAACATTCAAAAAAAAAATGGATGAAGCAAGAGTCGCTTTTGTGATTCAACGGAATTACAATAGGAGTTCTTGAGAAGAGTTTAACCCAAAAAGTTACTTGTTCAACAACTGGTCGAATTTCAGCCTTGCCAAGTTTAAGATCATACATGTACTGCATCGTTTCCAATACATAATCCATATCATTAGTGAAACTTCCTTCATCACTTCCATCTTCATTGTTATCATTTTTTGTTTGATATTGTTGACTTTTGGAATTCTCCAGATAAATACGTAATTGATCGAAACTAATCTTTAGAAGTAATAGCAAGCATGAAATGCATGCCAGTCGTGTTCGTGAATTCCAAAAGTTGTACATTGTTATGGATCAGGTAACGAATATTACAACATAAATAATGGACGTCATGAATTTTTCGCTCATAGCAACTGTTGTTTTCCTGTTGGATACATTGAATGCACATCCGATGAATCTTATTTAATTGAAGAAGAGGCAATATCTACAAGGTAAACAGAAGCAATCAAGAGTTATATAAGTTACTTTAACTTCTCGTACTGATCATCTCACATTTTTTACAGGTGATCGTATCATATCAACTATGACAATCACTACTTCTCTGAGATAAATGCATGAGAGAGAGAGAAATTAATAATGAAACACAATAATGGCAAATTGGGAATGATATTGGATGAATACAAAAAGTTGCAAAAATGAATTTGAAAACTCTGAAAAAGTCTTCACTAAAATCAGGAAAGTAATTTAAAATAGTTTAAAATGCAAAAGAAAGAAGTGAAAAAAAGACGAACAGTCAGAAGAAAGTCTTAACCTCATTAAATAATAACCATTTCAAACTTTCTACTCAAATTTCATACCAAATAAATAAAGAAATCACTTACAGTGGAGAGGAAATGACAAAAATAGAATAGAATATTGAGACGGAAATATTAAGTGCTCTTATATCGACTTTCTTCAAAGGATCAGAAATAAGATGTTTATAATTCTTTTGAAATATAACTGAATAGTTTTCGAATTTCGTCTTAAAATGTTTTAAAAAAACGACTGACAAAGAATAGGTTACTAAAAACACATGTAAGTTAAAAAGATATCGAATTATGTATGGTTTGATTAATAATTTCAAAACGCTTGCAAATGGGCTGTAAAAAAAAATGGAAAAAGCAAAATAAATTATACGTGCAATTAAGCATAATAACTAATATAAAAGGCTAGAAGTTTTCGTATATTCACGTAAATGAGGTATGACATATGTATTGTGAAGTAGTGAGGATGATTGGATTAATGATATCAGCTGAACTGATAATAATCACAGTTTTGCAACCAGGTATGTTTCAAGATCGATGCTATAATTTTAAAAATCCTATAATTACCTGCTTCATAAATTTCCCTCTCGTATAATTCACTGTCAGTATTATATGTAAAAGCAAATTTTGGCGTTTCAAATTAACTTAAATTATTTCTGAATTGACAAGTTGTTAATGAATAATGATACGTAACTCATACATACTATTGAGATAGCCTCAAAAAAAGCATATGCACAAATTTCCAGTTTCTATTACTAATTTTTCCAGTAAGATAAACAGAATAAGGAATGAAAGATGAGATTTATATTTAAAGAATTATATCAAACTTTGTAAATTAAACGGTTAAATTCAGATGAACATTTCTGATATCAATCTATCCAAATAGTTATTCGTAATAAATTCAAATTGATATGTGTATTCTGAAAATTTAAATTTTGAAATTTTTACTCATCTAAAATGTTGGATATCTAAAATTCGTTCCTCAACAATAAAATCCTAGCTATTTTAATCACATTTTTATATTCTTAATTTTAAATTTTGAATTTGGCTCAATGGTTTGTTAAAATTCGAAAGAAGAATAAGAAATTGTAGGAAAGATTGCACTGCTCTATACTGTCAGAACATTTTTAGAGCGAAGAAATTGTAGAATTTTAAAATACCTGATCTCAAAAAACACTATCAACTTATCAGTAACTTTGAAAATATTCTATAAAATTGCAGTAATATCATTTTAGAATAAATATTTTCCAACTTATTGTAATAAATTACTAAATTTCCATCCAATATAGTCATATTCGAATGTTGTTTCATTGATTTCCATAGGCTCTATCTTTTGGTGACATACTTCAAAATACAAAATGGGTTAGAATGAAAGATAAATGAAACTTAACATCATAAATATCATTTAGTAATCAATAATACCAGGTGGATGATAAGTAAAATGATAAATATATGCATCACACAAAATATACTATTATTAACCGAAGTATTAAGTTGGAATCATCAATTAACAGCTATTTTGTATCTCATGTTTTTGTGCGCGTGTTAGACCTCACTAATGATAATTACTGAAGCTTATGTTGAAGTACAATTATGCATAAATATTGGATGACAAATACAGCAACACTTCAGAAGATCTGTGCTTAAATACACAGGCGTAAAGTGTATCAATATGCAGACGCAAATTGTATACACGCAAAAATATATTGGAACATATGAAATGATCAGGTAGGAATAGTTGAATACTGGTAAACAAGGAAAGGGAATTGTGTTTATTGGTCAAAGAAGCCAAGAGCTAAGGATTGGGAAAATTGGACGGAAGAACTGATTTAGGAATGCATATAAGAAAAATCGTTTGAAATGCAAATGGAATGATAAGTTTCCTGTTCAACAGGTTACTCATAAACTGATCACACATTTTGCATTTTGACCATAAGTTGACCATAGAGCATATTTCCCGTTTGGTTTCTCTTCCATCACATGTAATATTCGAATTGACACGTGCTATCATCTGTCAAGCCATATCAAAGCATACCTATCAATTATGTTCATCTTAATGATCATATCGGGAGTGATCGGATGATAGACGTAATATCTGAACAGGTGATCTAATATAATGTTACCTCTGCTTAAATTCCATTGTTTTTTAGTAACAAAAATCCCAATTAAAATCTCGTCAAAAGAAGCAAAGAATGAAAGGGATGCCAATGCCACCGTCAGTATATTTTTAGCAACTCCGACAAGAGCCATCTGCTCATTAAATCATTTCAATTTTGCGTGCACGAACACTCATGCGTATCTCTCTCTCTCTGACCCTTCTTCGGTTAAAGGCCATTCTCCCTTCAGTATACCAAACATTGGATAGCATGCTTTGTCGAACTCTAACCTTTGATCGTAATGTGACTCAAAGAGTGGAACAGGCTAGGGGATGCAAAGAATAAGTGAAAGTGAATAGATCGATACTATCGATCTCTTCACTTTCACACATCATTTTAAATAGGTATTGTTTTTTGTGTAGTCTGTGTGATTTTATGAAATTTATTGTACATTTATAGAGGTATTCAGATGTTCTAAAATTATTCAGTTATAGTTTTATCTGAGCCACGCGGAAGTGCACTAGATCTATACTGATAGATCTGTGCGTAATTGGTCTGTACAAATCAACTCTAGGCGAGAGGGTTTAACAGAGCAACGCAAGAGAGTCCACGTGAATCACACGAGAAACGCAAAAAGGGCCACGTCTCAGTGCATTGCATGAATGAGCCAATGCACTGAGGCAGTTTCATCACGTGAAAAACTATGATCCCAAAATTCATCTCAATTTTTCCATTCAGTAGTCTCGATGATTCAGAGAATTATTACTGATTTATTAAGCATATCATAGCATAAATTTTTTATCAATCAATGATATAATCTTTCTTATCTTTACCTGTTTATTTGAGTTGTCTTTTAAAGGAAAATATTAATCGCAATCAAATGATTCTCCTTCTTTTAAAGGAACAAATGCCTCCACGATATCGTCCGCATTGGGTGTCCCTTCAATTGATACTGTAAAAAAAATTAGAATTTAATTTGTAATAAGTATACAACTATACAACTTCTTACTCTCTTTTTTCCTTCATTATAGTCTTCTGCAATGATTTTAGCAAGATCAAATAATTGGATATTTCAGTTTAATCAAATAACAGATTTCCATGCAATAATAGTTCAGAATAATACATATATTATCAATAATAGTATCAATATATAGTAATATCAATGGTTGCTTAAACGAAGTAGAACTTTTAACTTTAGCATATTGCTAAAATCCGATAGTGGAACGATGCAATTAGCATTGATTGTACTCGCGTAGCTTTCCATTGGCGCAAAGTGATGGTGCTCCTGTTAAATATTATATCAATAATGGTTCAGAAATTTTCATTTATAATTGATTTAAAATTTCTTCATGCTAATTGTAATGAGTTCCGCGAATATTTGATTTAAAATTTCTGAAATCACATAATTCAAAGAACCTTATAATGGTTAAATAAATTATTTTGACATGAATTTAAAATTTTCCAATTTTACTCCAGTTATTTCTAAATTCAATATTTTGTTGGAGAATCTTGAGAATAAAAAATGTCTTATTACTGTTCAAGTCAGTTGATTTAAACAATTTTGAAATTATACATGAATATTTGTAGAATTTTCATGAAGAGTATATTTTTATTTAATTATATGGACAGGTAGAGTCACAGGTTAATTCGTTGCTTAAGAGAGAAAATTTAGCACTTTCCATCTATTAACTCTACCATTCTTTAGTAAAATCTTGATTCTGAAGTGGTGATCTTTGATTTTACATAAGTTTTTTTTGTCAATGATAATTTACCATATAGTACTGTTTACTTTCATCATCCCAATGATCATAATCTGGCGGTGATTTATTTTGGCGTCTTTTATGGCGTCGAATGCCCGACCATAAACGCTATTATGATTAATTGAAAAATTATGAATAAATAAAGAAAGTTCGAACGATGTTCAAAGTTTTTTTTAATATATCAAATTGAATGTTTTAGGAAAACAACTGAAAGTAAGCGAAATAGAAGATAAATAAGAACTGATGATAAACAGTGTTAGTTTTCTTCAAATTTTTAATATCCTAAAATACATCATAATTAAAGATTTATTGAAATCAAATGTATGCAAACTAATAATTTATAAAAAAAATGGCCGACGAGCCTCTTTCATCTTTTTAAGAAAAATACGAACATTTTTTCAGAGTTTGCTGAAAAACTTTCACTTTTTTTTTCTTCCTTTCTATCGTTTATTTGTTCATTTCCATTTTTGCATTTTTATTGGTACTTTTCTTTCAAATTACTCTATTCATCGTTATGGATAAGAAAAAAAATTCCTGTGATTTCGGGATAGGAAAAATTTTTTTTCATCAATCATGTTGAAATGTCAAACAAAGCATGACATATGAACTTTTGAGTCATTCGTCTTCTTGTAAGATAACTCAGCATTTACTTATGATTTTGCAAGATTTCAGCGAAAACACAGAATTGAATACATTGTCTGCCGATTTTTTATCATTTTCCATCATCCACCAAAGACAACGATCGCTTTCCAAGTTTCTCGAAAATAATCAATGTGAGAAGAGTACCACATAATTTTTGTTCTGGAATATTTGCATTGAACTTGATCAGCCGAATCTTTAAATTGTCCATTTTAATTTCAAATTGTAAATAGTATCACCAAAATTTACGAAGAACGGCTGCTTATGGCAGAGATAGAAGCGATTAGAGTTACAAGACTTAAAAAAGTGTTTTTTTTTTTCTAATTTGAATAAACTTATGCCAAATGATTTATGTTAGCTTTTTTAGACTTAAGTTGGTATTTTTCAAAAATTCAGGAACTATCCGATATTCAAGAAATAAAACTCAAACTGTATAAATTAGAAGATGTCGGGAAAAGCAGTCCGAATAAATGGCTGGTATTACTGCTACCGGTAAGATACTTAAGCTTTCAATCTCTCATCGAGCTGAATAAGTTTTAAGCAAATTTACATGGAAAACATTTCATTCGCTATGTGGATGCTATTCATAATACACAATTCTTCACTTTCTAATGTTTATGTTTTTCAAATAGGATCGATGGCCATACAACGTTGGTGGTTATAAAGTAGAAATCGAATTCACTAAAGAATATCCATTTAAACCACCGAAAATCAAATTCCTTACCAAGGTGTACCATCCTAATATCAGCGAAACAGGAGAGGTATATTTTCAATAGACACTACCAGCGTTTAAATAACTCGGAATTTTTTATCGAGAAAAAATTCAGCGGAAAGAAAATTCCAGAAAGCATTAACAGATAATAGATAGTTTCTAAAGCAGATTCTATCAGGTTTCGCTGGCTATGGCACTTAATGAGAACTGGAAACCATCCGTCAAAATTGATCAACGTTAGTTAACACCTCTTTTCGATCATTATATTCTGTTTAACTGTAAGCGAATAACTCCCATTTCCCGCAAAATCATACCATTATATAAAACAAACTGGCTGTTTCTCCGAAACCTTATAACGGTATCACGGCAACTACGAGACCTCAAAGTATTGACTGGGCGATAATAGTATGAAAAGTTTGTTATCGACTAATTGTGGACAAATATAAAATATTATTAGTAAGGAAAAGAAACGGCATCATTTCGATAGATTTTTTATTCGCAGAAAATGAAATTAGTCCTGATATGGTGTCTACTCTCACCTAAATACAGATTTTCAACCGACACACTCAAAATGTTTTCCAGTGTTAACTGCACTCGCAGAGTTACTCTGTTCGCCGCAGCTTGGTTGTGTCCTTCGTCCCGAATTAGCTGAACTATATGTCAAAGACACTGATGCGTACAATAGAAATGCATCAGAATTCTGTACGCACTACGCCGAAAAAAAAACTCAATGCTAAACCAAAGATGTTCTTCATACTATGCAAAATATGTACAACAATTACTTCTGAAATTTAATCATAAGTAAGCTTTGAATCCGATCCACGCCACAATAAACTTTATGACACATAGTTCAAAACAAACGACATAATTATAAGACAATTTGACGCGGAATTCACGAACTACTTTTGCTAGTAAGTTCTGGTTCAAGAGTTTCCGAAACAAAAGTTAGATAACATTTGTGGGAAATTTTACTTTTGCAAAATCAGTGTTAGATGCAATTAAGCAGAAAATTGAGAAGGTTTTCGATTTGCGAGGATCAAAATCACTAAATCAGAATTGTTGTGCCACTAAAAAAACACACTATTTATAGAATTTCCCTCTCAAATATTTGAAACTAAAAACTATGGACTCTGTGATAAAGGAAATATTTTATATAAACACAAGTCCTCACAAACATTTAGAACCAAAAATATGTGAACTTTGTGAAAAGTCAAATAACAAAAAAGAAACAACGCGAGTAAACCAAATTTAAAATTGTCTTCGGTGATACATATCTGGGTCATAATAACTTGTTACCACCGTTCGATTTGCAAATTTGCGTCCTGTAAGTGCCGCCTGCGCCTTTTGACATTCTTGCTTGCTATTAAATTCCACAAAAACCTTAAAAAAGCGAAAATAAACATTGGAATATCGAAGCCAATAATGATTATACTGACATGAGCTCTACTTTTCAAACAGCCGATCCTACGGCGGCAAGTACAGTAAGAAACCAGGCAAAATAGGCTATTAGGAACTGAAGTGTTGAAAGAGATTTAAATTGTAAGTGCCGCCTGCGTCTTTTGACATTCTTACGATAGCTTCAGAAAAGCGATAATTCTGTAACATTCAGAAAAACTTGAAGAACTCACTTTCCCGACACCAGTGACGTCTACTCCTGGAACCGAACGCGGTATTTCTAGCGACTTCACGATACCATATTTAGCACACTCCTCCCGAATATCCTCAAGAATATCTAGAAATAAATTAAATTTCAATTGACACAGAAATGCCAGAATACAAAAGAAACATCCAGAATACAAAGTATCGGAATGCAAATTGGTCGAAACCAGATAATAATAGCTATCTTGAACAATGAAAAAGTAAATATACCTTCATATTCTTCATCATCCTTCAATTCATCTTCGGTAACCATATTCATTAAACAGAGCACTTCAGTTGGTGGTCCCGCGCCATGCGACAAGTCTATGCCCGCCACTTGGATTTGCGGGAATGTGTTCTGTGCCACGTTACTTCTGGCGTTGGCACATGAAAGCTGCACAACAAGATTTTTGTCTCCAAGCTGCATACCGTTTAAACCAGCGATAGCCTGAAAAAAAAATGCCTTGTTTTACTTCAAGAAAATTCTATTTTTCATTATCAAACTAACTTACATCTTCACAATCAGTTTATAACTGTAGACTTTTTTGTATATAAAACTTTTTGTATATGTAAAACGTTTTTCTTGCCGCTTTACCACAAGAGCATGCTATGTTTCATATTTTGCCCAAAAAGTGCATGTGCAAAAATAAGCTTACTGCAGAAAAAGCAAAATTGAAATAAAATTTTATGTTTCCATGTATTTGCACCTTAGCAGAATAAAAAGCTGCATTGAACAATCAGAAATCATAAACTAATTAAGTTCAGACCTGATCTGTTAAAGAAGGATCCAAATACTCCGCAAATGCGTAGCCCTTCGAAACACCGGTAGACTGTTCAGTCACTAAATTAAACGCCTTCAACTGCCCAAAGGAAGATAAAAGTTCTTTCACCTGAAAAATTTTACTTAAAACCAAGCTGCTCCGGATATCTCAAGAAATCCTACTATGTGTACCTAAAACTCTTAGTTGTGTGATTTCTCCTACCCATAAAATGTTGTGATGTCTGTTACTGCCTTGGTGGGGATATAATTTTGGAATTTTTACTCATGCATTAAATAGTTAAAACGGCTTACTCGGACCAGTTGCTAATCACGAATTTCACCATTACTCTAAAAATCTGAAATTCTGAAAAACAAGCATAGTTGCTTGCTGAGCAACTCCCCAATTTTTTGCAATTTGGATTGACGGCAAAGAAAAAATAGGGGTCTCAGTGACAACACTTTCCTAAGAGACTGTTTAAAAAGAGGTTTTGCGTTTATAGGAGGTTTCAACATATGCCAACCCGTTATATGCATGCTTTCTCGACCTCGACCCTGAAAACCTAAAAATGGGAAATGCGGGGGAAATGGCTTGTATGATGTGTTGTAACAATTTCTCCATTATCCGACTCAGTTGGATCACGAATAACAGTGCAAACAGAGCGCATCTCGTGACTGACGGCCACTGAAAAAATGTGGCCGAATTAGTCAAGCACTAAAGCTCGTAAAAATTAAAAAAAATTTGGCACATGATGGAAGTGCCAAGCAGTCGCCGCCAATGAGATGAAAGCACGGGAAAATTTCTGGAAAAGCTTTTCTAGGAAGCAAGTCGACTTAAGGCAGGACAGCACTGAAATCGAATTTCGACCACCAAAATAAGCTCTCATCCCACATCTTGCCATTAAAGGAACAACATGCCAACGTGTCAACAAACCTGCTCAGCATTAAGATAACTTGGTAGACCTCCAATGAATATTTTGTGTGGACTATCCGGTACGATATTCGACACTGGAAATTATTAAAAATGTTTCAGTAACCGGAAATCTTTAGGTTTTAATTTATAACTAAACATAAAACTCCTATTAAAAAAAAGTAAATAAAAGCTTACAAATTTTGCATGCATGTTCCGGGAAAAAAACAGTACTGTAAATTACTACAAATGGTTCAGTAAGTGGAAATATTTTTTCAGTGTTTAGTAAGTAATTTTCATTTATAATTGAAACCTTCAGCGATAAGCTGAAGCTTCGATACTCCTTAACCGTCTTATTCACTAACTCAATTAGTATTCAAATTAAGTTTCACAGAATTAAATGATTAAATGAAAAGTTAAAAATCTAACAACGCACCCATCATATTTCCCAAATCATAACTGGTACTCATTGGTTGATAATCTCGTGGTCTTCGTATTTTGAGTTGTTGTCCCATAAAATTAATCCCATCGAATGCCATACCAGCTGTTGTTTCATCGATTGATCGAAATTCAATGAAAGCGAAATTCTTATCGAGGTTCATCTGGCATGCTAAGACCGGATTGCCTGGTGCTTGAGCTAGACCACAGAGATGCATCTAAAAATTGTAAATATTCTACGCAAATCAGCAAATAAAGTATTATGATATAGCAGAGACTCTCTTTTATGCGTTGCGCTTTGTTAGAGGTGATTCATCTGTTATATAGCCCATTTGCCTTAGTTTGTAGAAAATTAATATCTTAATAGATAAATCATGAATGATTAAAATATAAGACTGAATTGTGGCTAAACAGTTCTTCTTATGACACGGTAATCAATGGTTTCGCTGATGTGGCAAATAAAATACGATCGAAATGACTCGCATGATATCTCAAGCTTTTAAAATTTGGAATACCTGTTGATTGAAGAAATCTAACATTGCATCTTCACTGCATCCAAACGGTATATTACCAACATAAAGACGTCGCGACTGACAGGTTACTGAAGGTCCAACAACGGGTACTGCAGACTGGACATTATTTCGCGGTATTTGGCCGGCAGCTAAAATATCAAACAGATAAAACTTAAAAAGTGACAGTCGCAAATTAATATACAAAATAAGAATGTAGAAACCATTGAATCATATTAATATATAATAAAAGATTAGACCTTGTAACTCTTTGTATTCCTTTGGCGTCAAATGTTCATAGCCAACCGGTGGTACATCCCAGAACTTATACTTCTTCTTCGGTTTTTCCGGTGTACGTTCTTTGCGACTGCGACTTCGACTTCGATCACGATGATGATGTCGTCGTTCTCGTCTAGAAATGATTACAGTATATTATGAAAAGCTAAACGCCCAACTTAGAACGATAATTCCCATGATTTCTCATTGTCTCGATAAACTGAACATGATCAATAACTATCTTTAAGAATTACCCACACATTTAATACAACTGTTCTCATAACTACTGCAGTTACAGGTAAGCTACGATCAATCTTTTTTCCAAAGCAAGATTTATTTTAACCTACTCATTTGTCAAACTTCCAATTGTTTCAAGTAATAATTTTCTGGGATCCTTGAATAAATCTTTACCCTGCGGCTGCACTATCTCTTTGCAGGCATTTAGACTTCACATTCGATATTAGTTTAGAAAACAGATCTGAAATCTTACGATCGTGATTTCCGTCGATCACGATCCTTGCTTCGACTCTTAGTTCGACGTCGCCTTTCGCGGTCTCTACTTTTACTTTTGTCACGGCTGCGACGATCCTTTTTGTCTCCCTCTTTATCTTTTTCTTTCACTTTACCCTTATCCTTTTCATCATTGTTTAATGTCATATCCTAAAAACCAATATAATAAATGTGATAAAAACACAGAACTTAATTTTTTAACTCCTTTAAAACAGTCATTTTCACACTTAATTTTTTATAAAAACGAACCGAAAATTACAGAAATTTCTTAACCTACTTTTGGTAACATAGCGGCAATTTTGGCATCTAATGGTGGCGCCAGCGGTCCCTCTTTGCGTTGTCGCACTTCCAAATAGGCCTTAGCAACATCTTCCAAGTTTGTTTCCATTTCTTGAAGCTGCTCGGGCTGTTGTGGATGTTGATCAACTTCGGTCATTTTATTCAATTTCCTAAGCAAGAAAAAAATGACTCATCCAGGGTGAGGGGTTTATGCGTACAGGTATCTTTCAGACAGAGTTTGACAAGAACGCATTAGAATAGATTAGCTTAACGTAAATATTCCACAAATTCTAATCCAATAAAAAAAACTATTTTGTCACCTCTCATACAGTAAAAATATATGAAACCATTAATCGATATTAGTATTAGGTAATTAGACAAGATAGAATAGGTAACAGTAGTATAATTAGAAGTTCAGATACCACAAGACATTTTTAAAGTTAACGACAGCCTCAAGTTAATTTTTATGCATTCTGAGCTATATTCATAAAAAGCTCATGTGACTAAAAATGAAATTAAACGACCTCTACCCTTCCGCTCCGTTTTCCGAATGATCCCGACATCAGAGAAATATACGTCCCGATTTACCTGTACCAGTCATATGCACTCATTCCTCTAGTCCATTATGACAAAGTCACGTGAAGGTTACCGGCTCTTCTTCCCTCCCAGTCAAACTTTGTTGAATTCAAACGGCAGACGTCGACTGACGCAAACCGACCAATCCGCCCTCCCCAACCAATCGATAGTCATCCAAAAACGATTGCACCATCGATTGCAAGCATTCGTGACAGAAATATGATATCTCTTATAGCGTAAAATCTCCTTGTTAGTGGGATAACCTCAAAATTTCCTTGAAGATATTGAAGTCTGCTAACTCGGAATCGCTGCATAGCTAATCAGTACATTATATACTAATCAATTTTCCACCTTTCATATTAATACATTTAGTACCGTAGATTGTTATCTTAGAACTCAGTCCAACTGTCCGAGGTCTTTTTCTGATGGTCCCACTGGTTTAATCATGAGAGCATTTATGCTTCAGAGAATTTAAAAAAAAAACATGGGTGTGAAAAATCAGACAGATATGGCTCGTTAATTGCAAAATTTTAATTTCAAACACCGAATAATTGAAAAATCGTGAAGTTTTCAGGTAATTATGATATCTCCTAAACGGAAGAAGATTGTACAAAGGAGTGATGAAGATGATATAGGGGCGGTTCTCAGTAAAATACTCTTGGAGGATTGTGATTTAGATATGAATACTCTTTTAAGGCTTCGAAATTACCTACAAAACTCGAAGGATAACGTTAGTATCTTCTTCATTCCCTTGACTTTTTAGTATCATTAAGTACGCGAGATTGTTAATATAATTCTCATTCTAAAGCTGGGCCTTAACGCTCCAATTCTACTTCTGACTAAAGAGATTATTCATCATTCTGCACTTTGTTGGGCAACCCGAAGTTCATTGTAGGAATTACAAGTTCAGTCAATAAAATTGAAAATTGGGCAAACAGTTATTACTAATTTGCTGTGCCAATATAACGCGATGGAATCGGAGAAAGATAAAGCAATCTTTGATATCCTTTGCATGCTCGAGAGATCATATCAAATAAGCATGAGGTATATTATTTTATTTTTAATCTCGCTTTGTTCAGCTTTTAACTCCGTTTAAATTAGATTCAACGAGAAACATGCTTAAAATTTAATAGAAATGAGCATGCAGACAAAAGAATACATTTGAACAAATGCTTTTGCATGGAAAAATGGAAAAATGCAATATCAAGCATTTCAGACCCTTTTTTCCTATAATATGGGGAAAGCAAGCAAAAGATAATTATGAAAAATTGCGTCAGTTAGGACAGACTCTACACACGAAGCCTACGACGGATCAGGTATTTTTGTATTAAATAATATTCCATAAAATCATTTAAGAATTAAAATTATTACAACTTATAATTCAAGTCATTATCTTCGAATTTTAGGTTCTGGATTATCTAAATCCAAGGCTAATGTGGGATACATTACTGAAGTCCGAACAGACAACCAGGATCAAAATATCTGGAAAGGATTCTTCGAGTCAGTTTTATGATGCCCGTTTCATACTTCGTTTATTGGCAATCTTGATAGATGATGGTGCAAAAGTAGGTGTCATGCAATATAATTCAAGGCAAATATGAAGTCATGAAAAAATATGCTATTTCTTTTCTTTCATATTCTTTGTGCAGAATCGGCGTTGCAGCCAAATGAAAAAGTTTATGTATGAAGTAATTTCTCTAAAGATGTGAAGAACGATGGTTTTCATTATTTTCAGATGAACAGTCGAAAATTTATTGATGTAAATGGTCTTTCATTTGCATTTGCAGCAACGAGTTTTTTTAGCCGAAGTGAGCGCTGTATTGCATACTTGATACTCAGACGTTTTCTACTTCACTTAACAGAATTGGATGGGGATTCATTTTCCGAAAAGTGTTTATATATCTATCTGTTGCAAATATTCAAAAACAGTATCGAAAATCCAATTCAACGACTACCACACGGTTGACAGCTTGTAACTCTTTAAACTGCAAATGATTTAATGAATTTGACATAGAAATATCCTTGAATTGACTTAGAATTCGCATTTTCTACTTGTTTTATCATTTTGAAACTAGAACTAGGTTGAACATTTTCATTCCTAATTTATTTTGATGTCAGTGAAATGCTGCATTGCCACATTTTGATTACAGCTACACTTTGCTTTCTTGCATCTCAGTTGTAATGCATTTCTAGATGCGTCATAATAGGACTATCTTATTGTATTTCCCAAAAGTGCAGCTCCATTTAGATTTTTATGCTGCATATAAAATGAGCAAGATGCATTTTTATCTGTGTACGAACTTCTCCTTACCATTACGAAAATTTTCCTTAATGCTTAATTTAGGCAGAAAAAAATGACCACTTTAAGCGTTATAATAATTCATTGCAGTTGTTGCACATTTTTTCGCAAGAGTGACCAAATTGATTTTGCATCCCGAAGATCCGGTCTATCAACCAATATTGTCGTTTCTGCTGCTTAAGCCAAATGTTGACGTTCAAAATGTTCCGGAAATTTACAAACTGTTATTGAGTTCAAGTACACAGCATTACAACAAGGAGCGTCATTGGTGTTTACGTCTTATATTAGATTCACTCATTGAACCGAACGATTACAACATCTTACAAAAAAGATTTGTTTTAAATAATTTTTTAATCATAAGAAGTTCGAAAAAATTGTTTTGGTTAGTAATTCATGATATTTTGGATTTATATGTGAGATTATACTCCACATATACTGAAATAGGATAAGTATTTTAAAATTAGATAACATATCAAAACAACAGGGTGCAATAATGCTGAATATTATAGTTTTACTTGTTTACTTTCTAGCTTCGTATTACAAGGTTGTAAAATTAAATAATTAAAAAAATGGACTGATAAATTCCTCTAGAAGAATTTAGGAATTTAATGATAGAAATGTTTTACATTTTTGTGTACTAAGAAAGATTTAAACCAGTGGGAAAAGAAAAAGGTAATAATTTTTGGATGACTAACTGAATTCAAGTTGTGCATAGCTGAAATAGTTTTACGAAATGTTGTTGGCATATTAGTATTGATGCTGTAGGAGCTCTGATGACTCTAAGGAGTTCATTCTTTGATATAGTGCATATTGTTTTGTATTAGTTGATTTTTAGATATGGGATCAAGTTATTACTATCACTTTTTGGTAGTGTTATTGCTGATCAAGAAACGAAAAAATACATTTTACTATCACTTCGGGCTATCTTGCAGCATCGATCACTAGCTAATGATTTATATGTCCGGCACAATCTGCATTCTTGGATTGTTTTAACTTTGCAGGTACGACAGTCTCGTCTTGCCCTTCTATCTTATTTTCAAATCTTGCCGTATTTAATTCTCTTTGACTTTAAAATATTATTCTTTTTTAATGAGCTTTTGTTTTAAATTTTGTTCTAAAAATAAACCAGAAATAGGTCAAATCATATGGATTTTTGTTTTCATTGAAAAATATTTCATCATGTAAAAACATTTGATACTTTTTTTACAGAATAGAATGGTAACCAGATGGGAACGTGTATTTTTATGCCAGTTATTTATCATGCTTATTACACATGTTAAAGAACTTTACCGTGACAACTCAAACAATGAGTCCATGGAGGACAACTGGCGTAAAACTGTAGTATACAAAACATGTCAAATGCTTGGAAATAAAGTTTGTCTTTTTTCTACAAAAAACGGGATCACTGAATTATGCATATTTTACATGTGAAATTCAAATTTCTAATGAATTATCCTTTTGTATTTACGAATAACCTTTTTTGTGAGTTGTTTTTCTTGAAGTTTTTATATTGTATAAACGTGATTAAGAATTTTACAAAGCTTATCTTTTACTTTTTTCATGACTTTTCACGTTTATTAAGTTTTATAATTTAGGGAAAATATGGCTTGAGAATCTAGATTTCGCCCCACATTTTAGTACACCAAAGCGTAGTTTTCCGTGATATTTGGTGCAAGAGTCTAAAAGATAATATTCCCTTCAGTCGAGTAATTTAGCAGTGAGATTGGAATAGGTTTCATATAACATAAGGGAAAGTGTTTTACAGATATCTGATGAGCTAGAAAAGGAAAATGACAGTGTGAAAAGTATGTGGTTACCAAAGCTGAGGCAACTATTGTGCAAGGATAGTTGGACACCGTCCCTGGAGTCGAACTGCTTTATTCAGAATTGAATACTTGCTGATGTTCATGATTTTAGAGTTGTTGCTGGTTCAAACTGTTTGTCTCAGTGCTATTTACAACTATATATACATACAACATTCATTCTCTCAGCTATCCGTCTGCTTCTTCCAACACCATAATAATAAGCGATTGTTTCATAATTCGTTTGATATCATTTTTATGTTATGTGAATATATGTAGCATATTTATGCCACATTTTGTTATGCAAGTCATTAATTTTAGTTTTGTAAAGAGGACACCTAATTTTGTGGTCGTAAGTCATCCAGCACAGCGTCAAGTACAATTCATTTCCCAAAGAACTTCACATTTTCATAGCGATCAGAATTACTGGGCCACAGGAGATCGGAGCGATTTTCGATTTCGAAGGTGAAGTAAGCATGGAGGGTGGCTGTTCAATCAGGAAATTGTCGACCCCATTGGGTGTCCTTTCCTTTCGTTCGTCTTTATACTTAAAGTTATGGTTGTTGCGAGATGATTTCTTTGAAAACACAGAACATTTTGTTCATAAGCATAAAACATCTACATGTTCACATACTGGTTATTTTACATTGAAAGATACAAATTTTTGAGACGGTAGCTGAAGTAAACTAGTAGTGGAATCGAGACCTTACAACTGGGAACATGGGATTATTGGAGGTATTCGTCTTCGCGAAGTCCTTTTATTTGTTATATGTGTGTGCTTATTTTCGCCATTGAGAACA